ACGGTTTTTCGAAGCCTTTTTTCAGTTTGGAAACACCGATTCACGCAGTTTCTCCACCTTCACCGCACTATTTTCGATCTTGTCGTCCAATTTTCATTATAATCTGGGCTGCCCAAAACTATCGTGAACTGTGCCTTTAAAGGAAATGGTCAGGATGAATTTCCGCACCAGTTTATCATGCCGGTGCTTCATCCCTGTAGCTAGCAAATTCAAAAACATCTCAAAATGCTTCAGCTACATGAATCGATCACCTGCAAGAAGTGATGGACGATCTTGTTCTGGAGCCAGGCGGGACGAAACAAGCAAGTGCACTAAGGGAGTAGAGGCGTAGACGAAAAATAGATGACCCATCTTCTCGACCCTTCTGTCCTTCCCGTGTTTCCTGCCGCGAATTGGACCATACAGACTCAGAATCTACGCAGACAATATGACCAACCCGCTGTAGTAAGGCAGCACTACTACGAATATACCTAGGCGCGAATTGTAGATTGTAGAGAGGAGTCCTGAGTTGCAAGCACCGTCCCGAACGGAAATTGGGGAAGTAGAAGAAATAATGGTTAGCAGATTCGTGATGGCTGTCTGATGACCTTTAAGGGTGGTACCGACAGGATCTTCTGGAGCGTGCAAGGATACAAACCATCTGTAAAACTGCCGCAGTGGCCAGATTTTTGCGTGATTTTTTTTTGTGCCCCGTTCCTCACTAGGGAAAGGAAGTTTTGTGGAGTGTCAGGCTCGCGACAGAGACGAAAGGGAAATTCTATGCCTGTCCGACAAAGTTATGGTCACTTACATTCCAGCTTACGTCGAACCCTCTCACTCGATCCTTAAGTTCGAACTTAACTCGCTCTTTAGTCTCGATCCTCATGAGCCGGAATATGACCTTCGAAAAACTTTCAACATTCCAATAATTCGAACTAGTTTCAGAAATGTCTCACTGCGCTACCGTATTGCTCGTTTTCATGGCGATGTGGTCAGGATCTAGCCAGATGATGCACATGATGATGATGCCACACATGCACATGATGATGCATCATATGATGGGTGGTGGTGGGTTAAGCAGTGATTTCTCTGGCTATCATGCATTCATGGAATCATATGTGAAAAGAGTACATCCTTAAAACTGTTCTTTATACTTTGTATCAACAAAGTAACATTGAACATATTCGTAAAAATGATCGCTTCTCGGACTATTTCCCAGTCGTCTGCTTGAATGTATCAGAATAACAGCTCATTTACATCACCCTTCCCTCGTCGGTTTCGAAAAAACCGTAAGCGACAAATTTTGATTCTCCCAAAGTCAATTGGAAACAGTTCCCAGACTGTTTGCACGGAGAGGGACGAAAGAACGATTTTTCGCCCTTTTTCGCACTATTCTGGGCTAGCACTTCCACGATTCGTTAAATCTCCGGAATTATCGAAGACGAACACTTCGCAGTGATATCGTATGGGTAGGCGGAAGCTCTGTTCGTTCTTTCCATTGGAGTCCATATACGGCAGCTTTGCAGAGAAGTAAATAGCTTAGAATAAATGTCTGGTTTTAGCGCACTAAAAGCGGTTATTGAAAGGGTGTGTTTGAACGAGTTTTTGACTACTTAGAATAAATTTTAGTGAAAGAGCTAAAACCAGTATTCGCATGAAAAATATCTCTGATAACCAACAGTGTGGGCAAATTGTTGATTGAGCGCTTTCGGATATCTCCTTACTATTTACTGAACTATTTTTATCATAACCCTGGTTACAGGAAGCATGGGTGGAGGCGGAGGGTCCATGAGTGCTGCAAGTACTGGTGGAGCAAGTATGAGCGCTGCAAGCCAGGGTGGAGGAGGAGGAGGAGGTCATAACCATGGTTGAACCATCTGCAAAACACCGATTCGCTCCGCCGTCACCGATATAGAACGAAATAGAACTTTCTTCAGAATTCTCATGTTCCCTCCAAAGAGTCCATATCGTTTCTCCAGGAATTTCTCCAGAAATTATTTTTATACCAAGAAAGTTCGTATTTACATAAAAGTGTGCTTATCGATTAAATCATAGTGTCATACATCAGCTCCTCAGCCATTGATTCCAAGTGCTTTTTAGGCTTGTTCAGCTTCCAAAAGTTCATTGTTTGTATATATCATTCTTCAAAATCTTTGTTAGTTGTAATGTTATGTTTTTTATTATTCTAGTGGGCTTTAGCAGTCAATGAGTGAATGAAGTTGATCAAGCCGCCATACTAGCCATACTAGCCTATATGGTATGTCACACCAGAAGAAGGAAGAAAACAGAGTTCAATTGGAGAAGAGCCTGTTGCCAAGCCTAATTTACTATTCACACACTTATTTATGACAATAGAGAAGGCATTTTAGCCATTTAGGTAAGCAAGGAATACTCCTGTACTCCTGAGAGTTCTAGACAGACAACTGACATCACGTAGCCGAACCTTTCACCCATTCTAGATAGTGTATAACCTAAGCATTTGTAGTGCAACTTTTCTATACCCGATCGACAGCCAGCTACCGTAGTCGTTTAACTAGCACTATAATCGAATTTAGTGCCAACTTCGTATGGAATGCTCTTTGCAATTTAATTCTAAGGGGTTTTGGAACAAACCCTCAAGGTTTGGGTGAAAGTCAACACATATTGGAACTAATCCAGTCAACATTATCTATACAGGTCAACCGAGCTCGACTCAACGTTGGCCAGGATTCTTCAATCCAAGTTTTTATATTCACTCCATGTGGATTAACACATAGATAAAGAAAACAGAGTTTATGGGTACTAGCGGCAAGGCTGGTGAAACCATCAAGAGGAACTAACAGAAAGAGGGTGCA